CGCGTACGTCGTCTCGGTGACTCACCGGGCCCGCACGCGTCTCATCCCAAATGTTATCGTAATCGTAATCGCCGCGAGTCAATATCGTCAGCATACGAATACGCGCGGCAACGACGACGCGCGCGCGTCACGCGATTTCGCCGTTTTCGCGCCGCGGGATTTTCGATCGTACGGCCGGCCGGTTCGCGGAACCCGTTGCCGCGATCGATTCGTCGGTCAAACGCGTTACGTTCGACGGCCATAACGGTGGCTGCGCCCGACCCCGGGCACAGCTCTTCGTGTATATTCTTTTTTTTTCGTTTTTTTTTTTTTTTCCGTTTTTCATTTAAAAACACTCGAACGCGTTGGCGATGGTATCCACGCGCTTTTTAACGGTAAAAGACAAAAGTGGTGTACGCTAAGTAGTAAGAACCGGTTTTCATTTTTTTTTATCCGAAATAAAAGTCTGTACTTTTAAACTTGCAGTAAATCTATCGGCGTCTGACAGTCCACGGCCCGCGAGTATATCGTTTACGTGCATACACTTTCGCCCGGGAAAATATGAAACCGTTAAAAATATATCGGGCAATCAGGCACGCGTATTAACACAAAAGTTTTATTATAGCACGGCTAAGACCGCATAATATACTAACGTGCCGACGACGGTCGTATTTATAACATAGATTTTGGTGTATAAACATAATTGTATATGTACGGTAATAATCAATAGGTATGACTGAAAGTTAAACACCACCAATTATGCGACCAGCTTTTCTTTTTCCTCGAAAACCGAAACTACCAAGGAACTTCGAACAAACGCATAAAAAAAAAAAAAAAACGTACACGACGAGGGGGGGGGGGGGGGGGGGGGGGGGCGTGATATCAGAAGTATTTGTTATTTGTATAGTTTTCATCGCGTTTAAACGTAATCAATTTTTATGGAAACTAAAGACTACGGTATTTTGTCTCGGCCCTAACCGAATCGTAGTGAAACGCATAAATATACAAGTGGTTTTCAATACGAGCTCCGACGAGACTAAAAATGGTATTTTTCGACCGATAATGAAAGCTTTCAATCTATAGTATTATACGTGAACATAAAATATGTGTATACACAATAATACGTTCTGGACTGATTGATCGGCCATCGCCTAGCCCGGAGCGCGTATTCAGGTTTTTGTCACGGGAGAGATCCATCCAGTAGCAACACGCCGACGCCCCATAAAGTTTCCATAATGTATTGTAATAAAAAAAAAACATTATCGTCGGTAACGCAAGCATTTTCCATGTACATGATTTTACATGACGATAAAATAAATTATAATAGCTTAATTGAACAATACATTATAATAAACTAATACGTAAAACTTGTACCCAACTCAATGTCACGATCAATTAAAGCGAGTATTTTCGTTCAGTGTTCGTGTCCGGAGTTTTATCTTGACATTGAAGCGATATTTCGATTCTTGCAATTAATGTAATGAACGAAAAAAAAAGAAAAAAAATGATAATAAAATAAATATGTTTTAAATAACACGATTATAATCATTCGCGTATGATAAAAAGCCTGCGACGGACCGGGGGGGGTCGATTCCCTCGACGATCCCCATCTCCCCCGTAAATACGCCGATGGCCCGGCCCGGACCGAACTGGACGGAACGGGGATAAAATCTGACGCGGAGACGGCTATTTTACGACGCGCGCGTCCGCCTAGGACAGGGATAATTGAAAATTAAACCTCCGGGTTTCCAGGCGTTTTCGGTGCGAACGATTAATATTCGTTTGGCAGCGGGCGGTTCACCTTGGCGATACGAATCGTGAAACGGCGAACGAAAAGATCGGCCCGGGCCACGCCGGACCGGTCCAGCCACGTCAGCGCGACGGGACGGTTTTCGCTATTTTCGGAACGCGAATCGAATTCGGTTTGTTGATTTACGGGTTGCGCCGGTGACGCGGACGATAGTTCGGACGTCGCGGGCCAGAAATTTATTGTTATTATTCGTTGCTGTTATTTACGACGTATTGTCGGGGCCGTCAGCGGGGCGTTGCCGGGGCCGGGCCGCCGGTTGTTTTCGAAACGACCGTTTTCGACTCGCGCAACCGACGCGCGTCTTCGTTTCCCGCGGACGCGTTCGTTTCCGGGTCGCGACGCTAAGAACAATACGTCCGGCGGTCACCGGCGAATCCGACGGCGTTCGCGTGCGCCGGTAAACGCTCTCGCGCTAGGCCCCGTCGCGAAACGCTTTTGACGCTTGTCGCGCGTGGCCCGGCGCGCGCGAAACGCCTCGATACCGCCGCGGACGTCCCCGCGGGTAAACGCGGTTCGCGCCGCCGGGGGGCGTTCGGCGGTTCGATCGCCGGCACCGCAGAGACGTTTCGGAAACGCGGTTGCGCGGCGCGCGAACTGTAACGATTCCGGTAACCGATACGGACGGATCGAATCCGAAGGTCGTCTCGCCGGGTCCCGCGTCGAACTATTTTCGATTTTCGGTGTCGGCGATCGCTTTCACTTCGACGGTAGCCGCCGCCGCCGCCGCCGCCACCGCGGCAATAATCTCGTTGTAATTAGTTACGGCCCGCAGCCGTTTTTACTACGGTATCACGCTATTTTGTCCCATTTGAATAATACCATTATGCATTATGTTCATCCCGTGAGGTCATCGTGAAGATAAGGTACAAACAAAGTCGTTTGGCTATTAAAAAAAAAAAAAAAATTGTAAACAATGCGTTAATGAATTATTGTTTACCGTGCAAACACCGTGGTGCGTCCAAGGCCGGGCGGTTTCGATTTATCAATCGAACGCGCGGCGTGCGCCCGGTATAATGACGATTACGTACGCGGAAAAAAAAAAGTTTTCCAGAAAACTAGAGGCGTTTGTAATGCGGCGCCGTCGTAAAATGTTTAGGACTAAATGGATTGACGGAATAACGAACGAAACAGTGTTAGTAATAAGAATAAAAGAAAAGAAAACTGTACTACGGCGTGCGGTAAAAGTTAGAAGGGCTAAGACGATAGGACATCTACTGCGCCGCGAGAGTCTATCGAAACGGCGTCATAGGAGGCGACGCCGAAGGCCGTATAGGAATAGGAAGACCAAGGGCGGGAGTGCACGGAGCAAATCGCGATTGACGCGGGCAAGAACAGTTATGAGGAACTAAAGGAGTTCAGTAACGATAGGGTCGCGCGGAGTACTGCAGCAGACCGATCTAAGGATCGAAGGGAAAAAAAAGCGCCCCCCACCACCTCCCACCGAACGTCGCGGCGGTGTTCAAACGTTTCCGTTGATGAACGTGTAAAATCGCGTCGAAAAAAATAGCGTTTGCCAGGAACGAAAACGTTGTACGCGCAGGCGCGCGCGCGCGGCGGCAGACGGGCGGGCCGAGCGTACGGAAACGGAACGGCACAAGGGCGCGGCCGAATACACGAGCGACGCGATAACACCGCGTTTGGTGACCGCGAATCTGCGCAAATATCTGCGCGCGTCGTGTGGTTTTTTTTTTTTTCCTTTCTCGCGTTTCTATTGTTATTACCGGTTATCGGTATCCGAACGTCGGACGCGAAAATGACGCGTTCGCGGCGTTGGGATCCATTTTGATACCGTACGCGTGAAATCGCTCGTCGTAACCGAAGCCGCGCACGCGACGGACGAGCAATCGGCCGTTAATACCGCACGATATTATAAAAAAAAAAACAATACCGTAAATACAATAATTATCGCGTTTGCGCGGGACGGGGTGTTTTCGCCGCGCCATTAAATGCCAATTCCGTCGGTTCGGCAAATTCCAAAGACGGCCGTCGTCGACGTTTTCGGTGGGTTTCTCTCTCTCTCTCTCTCTCTCTCTCACTCCCTCCGCTTTCGGTGGCCCACGTCAATTGCTCACCAATAAGTGCGCGGTATACGCGAACGCACACCGCATACTCCGCGGGTACTCGGGCGCTGAAAAACGATTTCTCGAAACACGCGAACGCCCGCGTAGGCGCGCCCGTTACAACCGCACGCGCTTACGAGTACCGTCGTCAGTGTCGCGCGATAAAAGCACCGCTGCGCCATCACGACGCGCTGTCGGAACGTCCGGATCGGCCGCGCGGCCGCGTGCCGCCGTGACTCGCGGATCCCGTATTTAGATGTCACAGAGTGGTTAGCGGAAAAATAAAAAAAAAATAAACAATAATCGCGACCGATCAGTTTGACGTCGCGTCCGCCCGAGTCGGGTTTCGCGCGGTATAACGGAGATCCGGGCGCGGATGCCGCTGAAAAGTCCGCGCGTCCGCCCCGGCGGAGCGCCCGAAGTCAGGAGTGGCGCTAGAAGTTGACGCGGCACGCCCCGAGGCATTGCGCGACGGGCACAACCGCTTGCCGTACGCGTGCGAAAAAACAACGCCCCCGCCCCCTTTTGAACGTTTCCTGAACCGACGGCGAATTCGATCGAAAAATACGATTGCGCGGTTCTTCGTAGCACACTGCTAACGAGCGTCGTCAAATGCGGGCGAGAAATCGGAAACGACACCGATTGCGATTTCGACACACATCAGATATCAAATATTAATTAATTGATTTCTGTTTTTTTTTTTTTTTTTTACCGAAAAAACACGAACGACTCGATTCGACTCTGTGAATGTCTTGTTTGTGCGTACGCGCCGTGACAATCGGCACCAATACACGTCGCGTTGTCCATGGTTACGAGACGATAGGCTGCGCTTTGTCGGATTCGTACGCAACAATAAATTGATTCGATAACATTTCAGTACGATTCGCGCGGACACGCCTGCGCCCACCTCTCGAGCACAGACGCGTCTCTACCGTTCGCCGCGTTCGTTTTTCCCGGACCCGCGGCACCGAAAACGGCACTCGCGTCGTCCGTCAACGTGTTCGTGAACGGCCGTCACGGCCCGTCCGCCGGCACCACCAGAAGAAAACTGCTGCGCGCACCGTTACCGACATCCGTATCCCGGTCAGCCGGGCCGCCCGGTTGGATTTCCGACACGTCCGTTGACGACACCACATCACCGCGCCGGGAAAATGGCCGGAAAAACGGTCCGGGTAACCGCCGCGATGGAACGGCTGACCGTTCACCGAGCGTCCTACCGACCCGTGCCGATACCGGCGTGCTGCCGGTGGACCCCGGCCGCGGCCAAACGAAGCGGCGCAGCGTTCGAAACGGACACCGTGCACGGGCTCGCTTATCGACCGCGGGACCCACAGGACCCGATCAAATCGGCGCGGCCCCGGGACCACGGATTTCTGGACGGCGACGGACTGTCCCGGTTCCGGTGCACGTTGTACAGGTCGGACTATACGACGAAAAACGGACGACCGGGTAATGGAAATCGCAGTAACCGTTTGTCGAACGCGGTGCGGCGCCCGTGTATGATTCTGTGGACGTGTGACCGTAGGCGAAATCACGAGGAGGCCCGAGGGGGGGGGGGGTGTGATTCTCTCGGTAGCTCTTTTTATTTTATTTTTTTATTAAAACGTTATACCGTTCGACCACTAGGTGCGCGCGAATACGCGTTCTCTATTTTGAAGAAAATCAAAACGCACCCGCGGGATACAACGCCGGAGGCATATTTCTAATTGAAAATCGGAACACCGTACGGACATTGCGGAGTCGATAGCTAAATGCTCCGTTCGTTAAAATCGATTTCGCGAATCGGTTGTGCTGGTCGTCGTCCACAGAAACGTACCCGGTGATCGACGGCGAGTAGGTGGCTGAATTAGACGGGTCCGAGACCACAGGAGAATAATTATTTTGTTTAAAACGCGCGACGTTGCGACGCTCGCGACGGTTCGTATTTTTTTCTCCCAAACGACTCTGCCCATCTCTCTCATTCGAAACACGCCCCGGCCAATGAGTTCGCATCCCTCCCGCCACCCCGCCTACCCCGCCTTCTATAACATTTTCAAAAATCGTCCGTCCAGCCCGAATCGCGCCGTCGCGTACGCGTGTGCCGATCTATTGCCGCGCGGTACAACCGACGGAACTAATCCGTTTTGAACGTTTACAACGTTATTGTTACCGTGGTTTTTGTTGTTGCGACGTTAGCCCGGCCGAACCTGGCGGTGAGGTATTGGTGCACCAGAACGCCGGTCCAAACGGACACGACCGCGGGCACCGCGTACCGTCCGCCCGCGCCGAGGCCGCAACTCTGGCGTTACACCCAGAGCGCGTACAGGGAACCGTCCAGGCCAATGGAAACGTCGTCGGTGCAGCAGTTGAGCTACAGGCCGGCGGTGCCCGGAGCCTGTTGCAGAACAATACCGGCGGCGGACCGTTGCGGGAAACGCGGCGCTCCCGTGGACGAGTCGCCGGCGAAGACGCGGGCGCCCGTCGAAAGCATCACCACTTACACGTCCGGATTTCGCGCGGCGCCGCCGGCGGTACCCGACCAATGCGCGCGGAGTAGGATTTCCGAATACCGTGCGCCCAGAGCCCACAACTATTCCGCCGGGATAAAGACAACGAAGCGGTGCAAATAAATTTAGACGAACCGAGAACCCCTAAAAATATTTTACTGTCGTACGGTTTTAGTGTATTTGTTAGACGTGTAAAACAATGAGCTTTGACGCAGTACGATTCCATCGAGCAAAAATCACGAATTATTTTGTACACAAACATCTACCGAAGTCTAATATCCGTTGGCAGTGCAACGCTGGCAGTGCTCTGCCGGCGAAACTAAAGTCCGACGAAAGTTTTCCGGGTATTTATTTGCGTCTTATTACGGCCCGGGAGTTTGCGTTCCGCAATTTCACGTTCCGGATTATCGCGGTCCAGCGTTTTCCGTTCCGGAGTCTCGCGTTCCGTAATATTACATTCCGGACATTTTACTTTCCAGATTATTGTCGTTCCGACCGATTGTTCGTCCGGAAAACCACGGTCTCCGCACCGTATTAGATACCCGCGCAGCACGGCAACGCACTGTCGTAAAGCCAAAACTACGACGACAGAATAATACTACTGAAAACTACCGAAATACCGAAAAACTACTAAAAACCAAAGATGACGTTTCGCGCGTGTCGTATATTCTCGCTTTTCACTTATCCGTCCGGTACAGCGCATAGTTTTTTGTTGTTTTTTTTTCCGTCTATGTTACCGGGATAGCCCGTCCGATCCATTAATAGACCGAAAGCTAGACTCAGATAGACACTTTAATTTTAGTAATTATAGTTGTCCAGGCGTTTGTGTTAGTTTCATTTCGTCCGTGTTACAAAAGTTCGACGAGGCTAATTTAATTTCCGTACCAACGACACCTAGACGTCCATCGTGTCGCCTTCGGTTTCTTACATTCCCGCGTCAAAAAGTGGCCCGTGTCTTCCTCCGAGGTCCCGTTTACCTCCTCTACGCCGGATTTCGTCGAAATCGGTTCGCCGCGGAAACGCGACGGACAGACTTACCATCGCGTTTGTGATATTTGAAATTAGGACGTGTCGAAGTGCCGCGACGCGTTTTATTTTTCGTACGGTCAGAACGGCTGCGCAACGTTGTAAATCACGAAATTTCGCCGAACGCGCCACCTCGTAGTTGTCGATAACCGTAACCGTAGCGTTCTCAGGAGTGCGCAGCGCGCGAAATCGCCTCTGCGGACGGACGCAACGGCCAGGTGTTCCGAACCGCGTTGTGTTCAGAACGAGTCCGGAAACAACCGGACACTTCGTCCGGTCTGCGTCTCGTTCGATTCCGCACCCGAGCACCGCTGCCGGTGATGTTTTGCGCGACCGCACGCGTTCGCGTTCGTTTGGTGCGGCCGTTCCGCTACGCCCTGTCCTTCGGCTCTCCGCCCGTTCGCGGTCGGCCGTTCGGCCGGCTGCGCGCGGGCCGTTCGAGTTAAATTTGAAAATCAATTGTTTCGCCCGGCGCGACCCCATTCGTATTTCCCTCCCCCCCCCCTCGCATTTTCGAAAACGCGTTCCACTGTCCGTGGCCGGCCGACGAGTTTTCGTTTTTTTTTTTCTAAGTTTTTATCGCCCCCGCTTCTCCCCCCCCTCCCCCGCGCACCGGTTGCTCGGTCGTCGTGTCGTTTCGACTCGTTCGAACGCTCGCGACGTACCGTCGCGATAATCATGACCAGGAGACGCACGCATCGCCGTGTTACCTATGTGTTACCTATATTTTTATCGTTGTTGTTCGGTCGGCGGTCGGTTGCCCCGGTCACACATTTCTTATGATATTATTGTTGGCCGAGTGCGTGGTCGCGCAGCACGCGGTGTTATTACGTTTATTTGTTTGTTTTTTTTCACCGCGGTATAAAGTACTGTAACGCGATAATAAAACAACACGAAACGGAAAAAGAAGATCGAGCGAACAAAGAAAAAAAAAAAAAAGAAAAAAATCGCAGTCGGTCCGTTGTTAATTAGCCGCGTCCTTTACGATACCTATACGCGCGCGCGCACACACACACACACACACACACACACACACACATATATAAATATATATAGTGTCTTTGGCAATTAGTCTCGTTATATACGGGCGTATATATAGCACACACGGGACCTGGTTCAAGGACATCGCACAAACGTATATAAAACTGTAAGAGCATAATAATATGTAATGGCAGTTTGGAAAAAAAAAAAAATAATAAAAAATACTAATAATAATCGCGTTAAAACCGCGCCGCAATGCACCCCGTATAAAGGTATAAATAATCGCGGAATAATATGCGCGTGAAGAAAATAAAAAAAAAAAAAATCCCATTAGATTAAATCTTGAATGGAACGATAAATATTATCATTACTGAAAAAAAAAAAACCGGGAACAAGTACCTACGCTTTATCACGCCCCTAGTGAATTTTTTTTTTACTTTTTTTTTTTTTTTATTAAAATATGTGTTTTTTGTCGTTGATATTATAAAGGTGTTTATTTTTATTTTTTTGCGGATGCCATTATTAAAAAAAAAAAAATGATTGCGAAAAATCCCACTACGCGAATTCGCGTCAGACTTTAAATCGCGAACTTATCTATTTCAAACCTCAGCCCCGTAGCCGTAGGGGGAAAAAACGGGCATTGCCCTCCCTAGACCCGTTTTCCGTCCCCGCTCTCATCGTATTAGCATTTTAATCGAAAGACGAGCATTCCGAGTCAATTGTTATATTGAATAATAAAATAGTATACGAGTGAAGAGTCATAATATTGTTTTTTTTTCTAATTCCCTCCCCTATAACTCGGTTCGCCTCTCCTCTGAAGAACTGATTTGGCCACGGGCCCGCCAACCTGATACTGCTGTATGGAGTATAGTGTCCTAAATGTAAACCTAAACCACGTAGTAGTACGAAATGCTGTCTTCAGTCACACCCGTCCGATGTTGGTTGAACTTCTCCGCGTTGTACTGATAAGAGGGTAATTTTTGGCTTTGTGCTCCTCTATATAGACCCTCCAAATGATGGCGAAGTGGACGACATATTGCACATTGTGAGTATGAAGGGCGTGTCTTTTGGCGGTTTCAACTTCCAACGCCCTCCCCGACCGTTTTTTTACTTAGATTTCATGTTTTTACGGGAATCGTCGAGTGTTAAACTTCTTGAGAGACTCAAGAAAGTCAGTAACTCAGTTAAAACGTCTATAATATAATACAAATAGAAATGTTCTCGAGAACGCGTCTCGGAAATAAGTATGAATTTCCGACCACCGAGCCAAACATCCGTCTGTATGATGGCGAAAATCTCGAGAATTACCTTATCTACGATCGAAAAACCAGTTATATTCCTTACAATTACGGTGGTGGGGGGGGAAACACCATTAAATATTGTAACGGCAAAAAGTCATCCGGGGGAACATTCAACTCTAGTGACGCAGCACAGCTGTGTTTATTATTATTGTTATTGTTGTTTGTATTACGATCGTCTTTGCTAGTAGAGCAAGGCTCCCGGTAGATAAGCAACGCGCAGTTCACAGACGGAAAAATAATAAATCGCACGTTCGTACGTACGTTCCACTCAGAATCTAAAAAACAAAATAAAATAAACGCGTTATCACAACGACGCATTAAGTTTTTTTTTTTTTTTTTACCGGAGATCGGGGCGGGTTTTACGCGGTGCCGTAAACGCACACCGCGGCACGCCGACAGTCGCACGCATATTAAATCGCGCGCGGTCTTTGCACACTGCCGGGCGTACGCATTCGTCGTTCGTGGACGTCCAAAGCCGATTTTATGTACCCCGAGAACGTATTACCATATTATGCATTTGCACACAATATACACGCAAAACGGTCCGACGTGTGTGCCGTGAGCGCTGCGTATTTATCATCGGTAGTAACGCGTTTGAAGATTTTTCATTCGACCCGAAGGTTTTTTTTTTTTTTTTTTTCAGTAATATATCTACGTACACAGTGAAACTGTAAAAACCTGTCCCGAGAAAGGCCCGCGCCCGGTAATACCGGGCTCGGAGTAAAACGGAAACGCGCCGTACAACAAAAATATAAAAAAAAAAAAACCCCCCCGTCGTTTCAACGGTCCCGAATTATTGCGGGACATGCACGAACATTGAAAATTCCGTGATACGGGCTGCCGTGAACGGACGTAGTATTTTCTTCCTAGGTCCCTCGAAGTTTCGAACGAAGAACATCTGACCGTTTCCGCCGCATGTAACAACACTAGCCGGATATTACCGACAATTTCCCGGGCTTAATCCTTTCAAAAACAGAAACCAATAGAAGACATTTGATTGAACGTGTCCGCCCGTTCTCACCTTTATCCAAAATAAAGTTAATCGCCCGGTGCTCGGTAATTCATGTCTAACAAAAAGGTCGATTTCTCGTCCGCGACAAACAAATTTCTCAGCCGTTCAGAATCTAAAATACAAAAGATCAAGTATCTTTGTAAAATTAAGACAATTTATTTGTTAGTGTGTGATTGTGACAAAAAAAAAAAGTCCTGATTAAAGGCGCTGTCTCTTTCTAGATGTTCAGAAATATTTATGCATAATGTATGTTCTAACCATCTAAGTGACTTACAGTAATACAAATTACGGGAACAAGCAAACAGACGAAACAAAACCGATTTCGGAAACGTACGCTAATTTGTACGTAATATTATATTTCCGTAAATTGGTCAATTGACATTGACTACATTGTGAACGAAATGCAAATAAAGAAGCTCGAAAGTTTCAAATGCCTGTAAATAGCTCAAAAATGTCCGGAACGTTTTACCATGCCTAGAAAAGTTCACTATAAGTACTTTGTAAAAATTTCGGGAATTTTTTTTATAGAATTACAGCATAAAACTAAAATTGAATATTCTAAAATCGTTATATTTCTGTGAACTTTCCTGTTTTCCCAACGTTTTCTCCTTGTTTTATCCAATTATTAAGAAAATTCCACGGGAAATCAAAAAACGGTTTTCTTACGGATCAACATATCGAAATAGTCTTCTAGAAAAATGCTACACTTATATTTCATACATGTTTGTTAATTTTTCCTACACGTTTCTTTCCGGCTATTACTAATTGTTATGAAACCGGTTTGAAAATCAAAAAAGGTTATAAAAAAAAGTCTAGATCCGACTAGATCCAAAGTTCAACAAAAGAGGTTTTTCGATGGAATCAAGATTTATGGCGACACAGCCAGACATCAAAGATAAACCACTGTGTTCAGAATCTAAATGTATATCAGGGGAAACTCAAAGAGACAATAGGTTTTTGGCGGGCCAAAACTTTGTTGGAAAGATTGTATTTGGCCGGTTTATTCAAGTATGCCTTAGGAAAGGAACGATGAAATTCGGACTGGAAGAAGCTTTGTCAGAAATAACGCAATATGGTCTCAACGACCTTCAAAAGAAAAAAAAATTATTTTCATAAATTACCGCACAACCAGTTTAACACCGCGGGATGTCTGTCGTGTTTATATGTGTGTTTTTTTTCCGTTTGTTGGTTTTGTGTTCTTCGTATCTTTAATAAGCAACGAGAACTTTCCATCTCGTTCAAACAATTCCAAATTAAATTTATCGTTTTAGATTCTGAGTGAATCGAAGAAGCTTATGGTTTTACAAAGATGTTTTTTTTTTTTTGTCTGTTGACAATTTCTCTACCAGAAATCTTGCTCCAATTTTTAAGTGAAGCACGTTTTCTGAAAGATCAATTTTCGATTTGCCCAGGAGTTTTCCCAGCAAATGCGAAATACCAGGAAAAAACATGAGAAAATCTGGAAAATCGGATCAATATTAAACAAATATTATTAAAGAAAATATATAATGCCTATTTAATTTCTTAACCATAACATGACGTTTTACTGTTGACAAAGCATCACTATCAACTGAACTCCGCTCAGAATCGTTTTTTCGTTAGCAATGGTTTGTCTTTGCTTGCGGCTATACATTAAATTCCCTTTTGTATCCTACCTATCCAATTTCTCTCTCACAACAGTGTCGGCGCCCGTCCTCGTCATCTCAGTACAGCATTTTGTTCTTTATCGTGCTTCGAATAGTGCATCAGTACATCACTATAAGTGAACAGTTTTCTAAAAACCGATACGTCATCGTGAATGTCATCCCTTCGACTGGTCCATACTGTATAGCCTGTAGTATGACTCATAAACCCATTTTAATCCGATATTGGATTATTGCATTCGTATGGGTGCATAGAAACATTTGGCAGACAAATATAATAATCTTTTCGAGATAATAATCGCATTACGAAAAGTAAGTTTATATCGGTGCTATTATTACTAGTGTACTACGTAGACACGAGGGTTATGCCCGGTCCACACGATATCGATATAACTATCGTGATAGTTGAATGTGAATCAGTCACTCTAGTAACTATTACGGAGACAGCGTCCGTCCGACGGTACACGGAAATCTCGACGAATACCTCCAATAAAGTGATAGATACTATTTTTATTTTTTTTCTGTATGTGAACACTTTTTCTACCAGAAAGCTTGCTCTGATGTATACGATGTCGACCTTTTTTCTGAAAGAAGATCGGACTGGCGAGGCACTTTAAGTATTAGGTTTATAGGCTATTTCAGGTTATTTTATTTCAATTTAATTGTTGAACGTTGAAAATGTAGGAGAACTGGTTTAAAACACTCGGCAACCCTGCTCGTCGCGCTGTAATTTTAATAATATTGTAAAATATTCGTTGTTCGCTTTTTACGACGAACCATTCGAATCTAACGCAATGTATTATAAACAATAATATGAATATGATAAAATATACTATTCAAGAACGCATACCGTGTCAATAATTTTGTGTAAAAAAAAATGTCTAAAATATCACGACCAACTCGATAATAATATTAATAAACTATCTAATCAAACCACATAAAAGTTTGCGAGATGTTAATTAACTATTATGTAGGAATGTATTTATTATTTTTTTTTTAAAAAAAGATGCACTTGAAAGATATTGGGGACCTACGCTAAAAATGTATATAAACCCGTCATCGATGTATTAATTACGTTCATGTTGTTAATTATGTTTATATATAAGCTAGTTAAGTAATTATTATCACGGTTCGTATTCTATGTTCCGAATGTTAAAAGTATTACTCAAACCACAAAGTTATTGAAATGTGCCCTAAAAACATAAAAAATAGCAAACAAACAATCAATTAATTTCGGTATGTTTATAATTATTTGTATTAACGAATTATTCCTAGCGATTTAAATTAGTAAATTAATTCAATTGAAAAAAAAATGTGGGAATTATTCGTACCGGTTCGCATAAATGACGAATTTGTTTATTTACCACTTTCACTGAATCACGAAAGAGGTTAAGAACACGCACAAAATAAATCGTACAAACGCATATTGACGAAACATAGCTCAATTGATATCAAACGATTCAAACCGATGTGAAAAATAGCAATGGTAAATAGAATCTATGGTGCACAACAAACGTACAGTCCATTCCGCTATTTTTATCTGTGTTCTAAAATGATTACCAAATGCTATAAAAATCCTAGCCGCGATAACTATAAAAAATAATAACTTACACGACATTCGAATTTGTAGGCGTTTTGGAATAATCGTCCCTGGCGATGCTTGAAATTCATTAACCGTCGAAAACTCGAGAAATACAATATCGTTTTGATGTGAGTACCTAAAGTTCTTAAATAAAGATAAAAGTAGTTTGATTTCTCATTCAGATGCCAGAGAATAAACGTGATACGTGAAAACAACCACAGGTTTTTGACATCGCCGGCAAACAGCAAACGCCACAGGTGTGTACCTACGTAATATAATTTATGTATGACCTCAACTTCGTGTAAAATCCGGACGAATAAAACCGAATAGTTAGCGAAATGATAATATTACATAGATAACCGTATTTGTTATGGCTTTGAAATGCAGAGTTCCGTTCGCATAGGTACTAAATTACAGAGTAGATAGTTAGATATAGTGTTGATAAGAAACTGGAATAATGAGAAAATATCATGAACAGGCGGAAACGGTTATTACTGTACTTGCTGCAATAAGATCAGTTAGATTATAAAAAGAACTATTACAGTGATAATATCTAAGACGATAATCGATTGATATACTTAATGTCTCCGACGTTGGATAACTATGAATCTATAGGTAATAAGAATTTTAATAAAAAGAAAAGAAAGGAAAACAACACAAAAAAACGTGATAATTTTTTAATCCGTTTGATATATAATTGAATTATATTTTTTTTAAATCAATACCTATTGAAAATATTGTGAATCTTGCGATAGGATCTGTTATACGTTGTGAGGGGGGGGGTGCATGGGCGGATCGTGCACGTGACATCCCCAAATTCGAGTTTTTGGCAACTAGTGGGCAATTCTAAGGGATTTGATTGGAAATTCGACAAAACTAATAATTTCTTCTTTTTCTTTTTTTTCCCTTTTTTTTTGGTGCCTATTTCATTACGTTATTTTATCGTTGTCATGTTACAATCGACAATTGATGTATTGCTAACCAGACGACAATATTATTGTTAAAAACGGGTAAAGTATTGCTTGAAATCTGCAAATTTACAAGTACACCACTCCGTCGATTTTCGTTAACGCCGACTTTGCTTTGGAAACTTAGTATTATTAATAATATTAAAATGTATAACAATACGATTTCCGAACATGAAATACAAACAACATTGTAGTACTTCTTTAAGGACCGGTGTCGCGTTTTATACGTACGAATAGACGTATGCGTTTTCATCTTTTGCATTATCCCAATAAACGAGAAATTAATTATCCGAGCCGTTATCCGAGATAAATGATTTTATTGCCTAGACATGTCTTTTCGAATCTGATGTGTTTACGTATGTATAAACATTAAAATTGCGCATTTTTTTTTTGAAAATATATACATTTATAATGCGTAAAATATTTAATTCGCATTAATACAGTTTGACATAAATACGGAATCTATATAATGTAATAAATTATCAAGTTGCATAGTTCATCGCACACGTCTCGTGAATTGCGATGTCTATCGAACCTGGAACGTTTTGAATATTTTTTATTCAGTTGCATTTGTGTACAGTTTTATGAATGGTATTCAATGAACGAAATTTGCTTTTTTCGCGTGGATAAAAATGTTTACTCCGATAACGGATAATATCGATTATTCTAGCAATTATTGTCTGTTACCTTTATCTTTAGATATTTTAAAATGTATCTTTTCGTTGAACACTGTAAAGGACAGCTATCCGCCCGTGTTACCCACCAACGAGAGACGGCTTTTGCGGTAGGATCAGACGAGTAAAACTATTGTAAATACAGTGTTTACAGTATGAGCGGACCGAACGATAAATCTTAAAAAGCATCTAGATACACCTCCCAAAGTCCTGACACCGCACAAACGGCCATTCCATTTGTAAATCTCGGGGTCAAAGAGAGCCGGCAATGTTAGGCGAGCGCGTAGGCACGCGCAATACGAGATGGAAATTCATTGATTTATTTCTAGCGTGATTATTTCGCGTGATACTTAACGGGCTCGTATCGAGAAAATCCAATTACGCAAAGTAATAACACACCCGTACGCGTGGCGCGCTCGTAACTTCTTCGGTTTTAAACCTTCAAATCGGTTATCTAGACATTCGATTGCTATAACACGTGAAATACGGGCGTCAAAAGGCGACACCTTAGCTGTGTTTAGGGTCGTGCCCACTTAAACCGCATAGAAAATCAACCTTCCCCCGTCCCCGCCGCTCTCCTAAAGTGCTGCGTTAAAATGCAATAAATTATGACATTGTAATAAGACAAGATTCCGAGCGTAGCTAATTGTTTTTGATATGGCGTGCGCATTTAAATAGCATTTGTCCACTACTTTCAGACACTTTCAGCGGTCCCCTTTCGACCGGATTCGTTCTGCGACTAGTAAGCTCGAGAACTATAGTTGTTTTACAGACACATCGATATGATAAGTTATCACCGATAACATTTCGATAGAATTTCACCATTTTGTTGTGGGACGGGGAGTGTAAATTTGTTCAGTTTCGGGCACCCCGCGGAGGACATAGTCTCCAAATGAAACCAGAGTATGAAACTATGTATATGCGCGATGTTAGCAACAAGGATGCACTTTTTGGAAGTTGCAACTTTTAATACCGCCTTCAAACTTTGCGTGTTCACGGGAAATATCGGGTTTTCAATGACCGGACGGAGTAAAATTTAATTCAATTCCGACGACCATAATTATTTTAGACAGAAAAAAAAAAAAAAAAATTCGTAATAATTATTCGTATAAACACAAACAAAAGTCGACTGTGCAAAAATCCGACACTAATGACGGAGCCCTGCTGCTTACGGATGTGTTTATTTATCTGTTTTCGACTGAAAGGAAAACTGTGTCTTTTTAGCGTATCGAGAAAACCGTAAGTTATT